AGCATTTATGAATTTTTCCAGAAGAAATAGTGAATCATTCCCTGTTAATCCTTTTTGACCTGAATTACTAACTCATTGTTGGCTATTTTGTTGCCTGTGGATTTCTTTTTCCTTTATGGTATTTCAAAGGAAAAAATAAAACTAGGGATAAAAAGTGTTATTTAATGAAATGGATGAGTATAGACAAATGTAGATACACTATTTTTCCTGCTCTTTTCTACTTCAGTTGGTCTCTTTTTGGATCACCAACATAAACAAATACAAAATATAATAATTTTAACAAAGAGAGGTCCAATCCTAAATAGAAAATAAAGTACCAGGCCAACAAAATAAATTCAGTATGAATAGGAGGGTTATAAACTTGATGCTTCTTTTGGAAAAGATTGGGAGATCATCTTTTGTATGTCCAGTACAGTATGCTTTATTCTGTTCTGATCTATGAATGCTTCAGATCTTTTCTTTCCCCCAATTTAGTCCCAAGCTTATTTGATGTAGCTTTCTTTCAAAAATGTAAATTAGATATCCAGTCTTGCATAACAGAGGATCTTCCATATTTCTTAGAACAAAACAACTTTTACAAGGGGAGAACTTACATAGCAGCCAATAAAGTTCAAGCTCCCGGGCGCAAAGAGTTTACAGAGGTACATACCTTGGTTTCTTATTTTGCTTCTTTTAGATTCTCCCTCTCTTTGACTGCTACATCAGCTTAGATTATGAGCAAAGGCCATATAGTAATAACAACTTAATATAAATCAAGAGCTATGCTATGCTTCCTAAAGGATTAGCAGATTGGGCCTTTCTCAATGAGGTAACCTAAAACTGGCTTAGACTACATTTTCTGCTTTTTTGTACCTTACTATCTGGCCAGGTGCCAGAAGCTTTTTTATACCATTACAATTATTTCTGTATCCAAGCTAATATAGTTTATTTCTCTGAAAGGAGATTAATATGAGTGAGCAGAGTTCTGTAGCTCTTAGTGAATAAATCTTAATCTATGTGATAGGCAGCTGAGAAAAATCTATAGAGTCTAAGAAATTCTCTTCATCTAATGTACCTCATGCTCTACTGCAGGGGTCTTCAAACTTGGCCCTTTTATGACTTGTGGACTTCAACTCCCAGAATTCCTCAGCCAGGCACGCTGGCTGAGGAATTTTGGGAGTTGAAGTCCACAAATCATGAAAGGGCCAGGTTTGAAGACCCCTTCTCTACTGGCACTATCTTTGAACAGAACTTGTTCCTGAGGCCTTCTTGACAGAAGTGGAATCAGTGGAACAACTTGCCTCCAGAAGTTGTGGATGCTCCAACACTGGAGGTTTTTAAGAAGAGATTGGACAACAGTTTGAAATGATATAAGGTTTCCTGCTTGAACAGGGAGATTGAACTACCTTTAAAGTCTCTTCCAAGTCTGGTATTCTGTTATTCATTTGCCTCAGCAGGTGGCAAAATCTGGCTAAACTTGATTCTTCTAGTAGACTTCATTCCTCATGCTGGCTGGATAATTCTGGGAGTTCAATCCATGTATCTTTAAATTATACTATGTATCTTTAAGAAACACTAGAACAGGGATGAGGAACCTTGGCTCTTTTATAACTTGTGGACTTCAACTCCCAGAATTCCTGAGCCAGTATGGCTGACTCAGGAATTCTGGGAGTTGAAGTCCACATGGCATAAAAGAGCCAAGGTTCCCCACCCCTGTTCTAGTGTTTCTTAAAGATACATAGTATAATTTAAAGATACATGGATTGAACTCCCAGAATTATCCAGCCAGCATGAGGAATGAAGTCTACATATCTTCCACACAGTTTCCAAGGTTGAGAAGATCTGGATGGTTCTTGGATGGGACATTCCTTTGAAAGATTAGTGCTATGGGCTAGATCAGGGAGGGTCAATAACCACTTGTATAATATTCCAAGACATAGGCAGATGTTTCTGTGTAAGTCACTGGCACTCAAGTTGGAATCCAGGGTAAGTATTTTACTTTTCTTTCTAATTATTTTTTAAAAAATAAATGACTGCACTTCATTTCTTGAACTTCATGGTTGAAGCTCTCTCCCATTCCTGTCTGTGTGTCTATACAGTGCACTCCTAGTAAACAGTATAAAATCCTATGAACATTTAACATTACATTCAATGTAATGTCCGAGTAAGAGTAAGGAAATATAAGACCTGTAAACATGGCAGCTTTTGTACTTATTAGTCACAGCAGAGTCATCAAAAAGGAAGAAGGGGGAAGCACCTGGCCTTACATTTACGTTTAGCATAATTAAGCCTTTTAGGCTAAAAATCAGCTGGCCACTGGTCAAAGGAGTTTTAATTGATGGAAACAAACACTAATTTTAGTATCAAGCTTTCATCCTTTAATGGTCTTCAAAGAAGTTGAGGGAGCTGTTTATGTGACTAAATCATCCAAAAGTTATTTCTAATTAAAGGAAATAGTTGTTTTCTACATATGAATTTCTTGGTTATAACAGAGGCTTGAAGTTGCCAAAGTAAACAGTTAATGCCCTCCTCAATCTCAGCATGCCCTATCAGTCAGTTGGAGTTTGCAGCCCACATTGAATGGCAAACTTAAATGTCCAGTTTGGGGGCAAATTTAAATATCCAAGAGCTACACTGGACCTCTGTGGTTGGCAACCAACTTCCAGTGAAGAGCAGGACATTCTCCTGCCCTGTGCCAGCTTCTCTCACAAAGAAATCTAAATTTAGAAGAGGGGAATGGAGAGGGAAGATTGACTGAACTTTCTGATTCAAAAGAGAACATCTGTGAATCAAATACTGTACCTATTATCATAACCTATGACAATTTGATCCTACACGTTAAAAGTTAAATGAGAATGATAGGAAAAGCTTTTGCCAAGACAGTAGCAGTCAACAGAAACCATTCTACATTCTTTGCCTGTTATCTGTCAATGATACCAGAACTAGAAAGGACTGAACAAATAATATGAACTGTATTCACACAATATATATTTAACCTATTATAAAATTTATCCATTTTGAGGGTTTGCAAGAAGTATGGAACTACCTCTCCTTAGAGCGGCCCAAATGATTTATATATTTATATTTACATATTTATTTTTATTTATTTATTAAATTTCTGCATCGCCCATCTCACCCAAGTGACTCTGGGTCATTTACAACATGATAGTATTAATTCTGTGTGCCCAGAAGACACACAAACCGGGAACTTGTGGCAATTTGTCCAATAAAGCCAAATCATTTTAAGATAGATTTTAACTCACTAATAGCAATAGCCCACACCAACAAGGAATTAATGTGTGCATCTTGAATTATATTGTATTATTAGTTTGGAAAGAATATTTGACATGTAAACCATACAGAGTTTTATGTTTAAACGTGATGCTTAAACTGTATTTGGGAAAGAATCATGTCTCAGGGTCATTCCTTGCGATTGTCTGGAAGGACTTCAAAAGATTTCTATGGCGCTATAGCCAGCTATATATATACTGAGCTATAAAGATCAATGGCTTGAAGTGAGCAAGTTACAGGTAGTCCTCGACTTGCAACAGTTCATTTAGTGACCGTTCAAAGTTACGGCACTGAAAAAAGTGACTTATGACCTTTTTTCACACATACGACTGTTGCAGCATCCCCATAGTCACATGATCAAAATTCAATGCTTGGCAAGTGATTCATAGTTATGACAGTTCCAGTGTCCTGGGGTCATGTGATCCCCTTTTGCGACCTTCTGACAAGCAAAGTCAATAGGGAACTCAGATTCACTTAACAACCGTGTTACTAACTTAACAAATGCAATGATTCACTTAACAAGTATGGCAAGAAAAGTTGTAACATGGGACAGTTAACAAATGTTTTACTTAGCAATATAAATTTTGGGCTCAATTGTGGTTGTGACTTCAGGACTACCTGTATTTAGCTTCATGTATTCCTAAGGGGAGAGCCTTGTAGATGGATATATTTATATCAATGTAACCAAACATATTCTATTCACAGGAATATACAATCCAAAGAAATAACAGGGAGGAAGGGAAGGACTGTATTTCCCATCTCCTATTTCTATTTTGTTATCATAAACTCAAATTCAACATTTTTGCAACATGCATAACTAGATAACTACCTAATTCGTTCCATTTTTTGTGGCTTGCATGTTTTGTAAATCCAACTCTGGTTAATTTAAGGAACCAGCTCTAAGCTGCAGAAATCTGGATAACAACAGGATGTCAGCAAAGAAAGTTTTTGAACCCTAACCTAGCCCTATTTTATTTGTCAATGTATTCTGTAAACCCAGAAAATGGATTAAGTTAGCAATCTAGGTGAGTAGGTGCACAGTCATATGGGCAAACTCACCTGGAATAAGAATAAGCTAAGAGAAAGTGATGGAAATTTTTTGTATATATGCCTTTCTCAGAGTTGAGACATGTTGCTGAATCAGAGAAATTTAGTGATTCTGGTGTAGGTGGAAATAGAAGAAACACCAAGATTTTGCAGTATTTTCTTCAGGGGTTGCGTTCTGTAGTTCCTTCTGCCATCTTTCACCATTATCAACATCTTAAAACAAGAGCATGTGTGGTTCTTTCTAATGAAGGGATGCGATAGGTGTGAGTTTCTGGGGATCGGTAACAGCCCCCTGGGCTTCATTTCTATTAAAAGAGAGGCCAAACTGTCCCTGCTCTTTATATCTGGAGGGCGCCAAGCTGCAAGGTGGGGAGTGGGAAGGAAGGCTGCTATCGTGCGTGGCAACTGCCTGGGGACGGTGTCGCCCGGCATCTATCACGGATCGTAAGGCGAGCCTTGCCTTTGAAGGCAGGCAGCACTCGGTGCTTGCTCAGAGGCACTGTTTTCCGCTTACACCTGTACTCGGAGCGAAGGGAAGGCGGCCCGCTTGCCCTGCCCGCGCCTCTTTTTCGCCTTCCCCGCGACCTGCGCCTCACCCTCCGGCAAGAGGCGAGGGAGGGACGGAGGGCGCGCTCAAGGCGGGGCCGGCCGCTTCCCAGACGGCCCCGGAGGAAGCTCATCGAAGCTCATAAATAGAGCGAGGCCGCGGGAAAGGCGCTTGCTGGGGCTGCGGGTCGAGGCTGAGGGTCCGTGCGGCGGGCGGTGCGTGGTCGGCGAGAGGGGCGCCGGCTCGAGTCCCGCGTGCCTCGACGGCATGGCTTCGCTGCTGGGTTCCTTCGCGTGGGCGGAGAGGCTGGACTGCTCCGCTCTGGAGTTGCCCGACGGGGGCAGCGGCACCTCAGCCTCCGCGGTGCCCCGGACCGAGAAGGGTAACCCCGAAAGCCGCATCCGACGCCCCATGAACGCTTTCATGGTGTGGGCCAAGGACGAGAGGAAGCGCCTGGCCGTCCAGAACCCGGACCTGCACAACGCCGAGCTGAGCAAGATGCTGGGTGAGCTGAGCCCGCCGGAGGGAGCGGAGCGGGACTTTGGCGCCTTTTGCGCCCCTCCTGCTTTCGAAGTCGCTCGCTGTGCCGAGCACCGAATGACCTCGGCCGGGATGTTTCGGTTTGCGGTTGGCCAGTGAAAAACAAAATTACGGGTAGAGCCAAACCCTTCTGCCTCCTCCGTGCATTTGGGGAGCGGTGCGACGCCTACAATTCTTCTCCTGCAGTTACTGGGTGAAATCTTCTGCATTTCGCTCTGGTGTTGGAAGAGATTTAAGAGGGAAGAAATGTCATGTCTTCAGAAAGCGTAACCTTAGAATTATTCGTCTCTAGTTGGGTTGCAACGCAATAGAGTTCCCCCCCCCCCGTCAATTCTCTTCTCGGAGAATTGGATCTAGAATAGTTAAACTTAAAGTACCCTTAGCTGAAATTATTTTACATAATTATTTGTAGCCGAAAAAATTCTGAAGCAGTGACTTTTTTAAAAAGTGCCTTTGAAAATTAGGTTTTTCTATTAATTGCTTCTTGAGGATGTATTTGGGTATCTAAATTTAAAAGGTGCTAACTTTTCTAAAATAATGTCAAGTTTCATATTATTGCTGCCATTGGTATTAAGTATTTGAATTACCACAGAACTTTGGGGAAAGCAAATCAATTCGAAAATGTATTGCAAATCTGATGAATTACAGAAGTGCAAATTTAAAAAATATTTCTTCAGTGTGTTCAAGATCACTTGGGATAGTGCTAAGAATTTTGAAAAGTTTTCTAACGTGGTAGTAAAGAAAGTAAGGATAATATAAGTTTTGCAGGCAAATACAGAGAAATGTATTTTCAAATCCTACATTGCAGCTATTTTTTCCCAGACGTTTTAAGGTATAATTAGATGTATATGTATTTTTTAAATCAAATTATATTATCAAATCAAATTATATTTTAATCTTTTGATTTGGATGCCTTATTTGCTACACTAATAACACTCTGCTAATCTGGAAAAAAATAATGAAAATAAATAATGTGAATCTTTATATTTTTTTTAAATCTTTGTGGAGTGCATGTCAAAATATTTGTTATGGAGTTAGGCAGCACTTTTTAATTTTTAATCTTGCAAGCAGCGTCAAAGGCATCAAAATTGAAAGTGCAAAAATATTTTGGTTAAAAAAAATCAATAAGGATAAAATTATTTTTCAAAACCAACACAAAGTTACCAAATATAATTTGTTAACCATGAAGCAATTCAATAACATCCTGGAATTGATTTAAACTTAGGGAGCAGGGATTTCTATCATTACGTGAATACTCTTATTTCAACACCCATTTATAATGCTTTCTAAACTACAATGTCATGCCCATTTGCCAAGGAATAAACCTAACTAAATTCAGTAAGTCATCTTTCTGATCAGACTTTCAGTGATGGCATTCTCCGGGATGCTGCATATCACAGGAATAATCTCAGTGAATTCACTAAGACTTTCTCTGAATTAGGAACGTAGTAATAGAGTGCTGCATCTCCTGGCATTTCTAAAAGCTGTACTAGGCTCATTCAAAATCCTTTCATCTTTTTAAATGGAAATTTTATAGCAATTTCCAAAGGGGTATCACTATCTTATGTTTATGTTTCACTTGGAAAGAAACCTAATTAATACTGACAGGATTTCTTTTCAAGTTAGTATGAGTATGTATAGTGTGATATGGTGGTGGTGCTGAGTGCTTGGGGGACTTCTTAATTTTAAAATATTTTTTATTGCAAAATATTGTAAAGCTTATTTCTCCGTGTTAAGTGAGACACATATTCTCCCCAGTGTTAGGAAGGTTGATTTTAATCATATGTCTATCTTGTATGTCATTTTTCTCTCTATGTGAAAAAGTCTTTCCTCTGGAGAGACAGGCGTTCGATTTCTGTAGTTTTGCCTTTTCTTGTTGACATATTTTTTTCAAGGCAATAACCTGGAGATATAAACAGCACAGCATTGCAAAAGTGGTCACACTAGACATCTACAAAAAGGATCACTCTGTATTGGAGATTTCAGTGCCATTCTGAAAGCCGCCCAGAGTCTCCTCGTGGTGAGATGGGCAGCAAATAAATTTAATAAATAAATAATAAATTCCTAATATTTCCCAAAGTAAAATTTTTGTTTTATTCCCCACAGCTGCTGAATATCATAAACATTCATATAATTCTCCAAAATGACCCCAATATTTTTCTTTGTAATCATTGACTATTCCATTTGTATTATTCTATAATACAGCATTATGAAGCTCTGATCTGATATGCAACATTTTATAATTAATACCATTGAATCATATTTCCACATTCTGCCTATTTCCTACTGGAGTTCTTGAAATTTGCTGCGGGTCCTATCCCCCTAAAAAAAGTGGACATGGATTGTAAATTTGTGCTCCACATATGATGAAGTTCATATGTAGTAGTATATAACAAAGTCTACATCTAAAGGAAATAACTTTAATAAGAATATAGAATGCTGATTTTTTTTCTCAGCTAAAATAAATAAGTTATAGGCAGAGATACTGCGCTGAGGATAATTGATACATACCAGTCTTATCTTCATAAATTACCTAATTTGCATCCTTGAGCAGCAGATTCAAGATGAGTTAAATGTGTTAATATGTAACAGCAAAGAAGAGATAAAGTGCTGGGTTTTTACTTTTTTTCCTGATGTTTTTTTTTTCTCCACCCAGGACCGGAGCAATTGTGAATTGTTACTTTTGTCACATGAATGGCTAGGAGTATTATATTTTGAATTGGTCAACAAAATGTGAAACTTAATTTTGCAATGAGTGCTCTCCAAACTGGTGTTTGAAATATAATCTCATAAGATGTTGGCAATCTCACATATAAATTTACTTTAATTTTTCCAAGTTAAAAGTGTATACCGCCTCTATCTTGAAGGAAGCATTTGAGAATATGGATGACATAAGCAACAAAAACTATCATTCAGTGTTAAGAGAGGAAAAAGTCTCCTTGTGGTTTTACATGCCATAAGTACTTTAACAATACAATGTTATACATTCCATTCAGAAGCAAACTCTGTTTTATTCAGCTGGGCATTTTCCCAAATGAGCACTAATTAAACTTCAGTCTAACATATTAAAAGCAAAATAGCTTTAGTTTCCAAAGCAGGGTGAACTTTTTTTTCCTTGCAAATTAAATTGGCTTTTATTGGCAAATTAACATGTATTTTGTTGGTGTTCCATGTTGACTTGTGGGGACGGAACAATTTAGATTCAGACCCATTGACAACTCCTTTGCATTTTTGTTATTACAAAGTATTTATATTACTATTTTAACCTTAAGTTTCACAAAAGTATCGTAGGGAAGCCTTGGAAATGAAACTCCCAATTAATTTTTGATAATGTATATACTTTGTAACTACAGTTTTTTGATACAACTTTTATATACAGGTAATACTACAAATTTTTCATTTAAAGTTTCATTGCCTATATTTAGCTCATAATTCCTTTGCTTTGAAGGGCTTTGCTCAGTGCGCTAAGCACTTTGGTTGCTAGGAATATCTGGCATTAAATGTGAACTATGGTTTCAAAGTTAAATTTTGTTTTGGTAAACAAAAGCATATGAAAATGTCCAAAATATATATTGGGATTTGGTGGTACTTTTTAACACTCTGGAAACAAAAATGTCCTCATATTTCATGAGGCGTTTACATGCCAGTAGGACACCAGTGTTTATTTTCTATATTTTACTTTTCATATGATTATTCTGTCCTCAAGTGAAGATAAAGAATTATATTAGAAACATGCTACTTCTCTCATAAAAGATTTAAATTTTTATCAAAAAATTGTATTGTCTTACTTTATTTTTCAAAGTTTGCAAGGAATGTCTCATCGTCTTTTTCCCAAGCTTGAGGCCTTCCAGATGTGTGGGGACTCCCCATAATTCTTAGTTAAGGCAGTCTAGGCTGGATAATTCTTTGTGCTGAAGTTCACACATCAGGGAAGATGTTTAGATTTGGGAAAGCTGGCCCAATGCAGTCGATGGACAGGTAGCTTCCATGAATAGAAGAGAAAAGACATCTAGAGTGTCATTGAATAAAGAAATTCCTTAGCCTTAAATTTGGTGATGGCCAGTAGTTTAGATAGCTTTTTTAAAAAAAAGGATAGTTATGGTGGGATAGGTGTTTTTAGGGCTGTTGCTGTTAATAGCCAAATAGAGCAGACATGTCAAACACAAGGCCTGGGGATGCGGCCTGCGAAGTGGTTTCATGCAACCCGCGAAGCCATCCTGGAAACAGTGAGGGAACGGCCCCCTCTGCCTTGGCCCTGGCCCAGGTCGTCTGGGAGCCAATGTACAATTTTGTGGTGGCCATCTATGCTGAAATACATTCAGTCTTAGCTCCATAAGCCCCCCCCCCCCCCGGCATGGCCTGAGAGAAACAGTGAGGCTCCTCCAGTGGACCATGCTTTGGCATTTGCCCTGGTCGCAGGCCGCACCCACTCCATCCACACCCACCCAGTAGACCGCACCCACTCATAGTTAATCAACATTAATTATGAGCTGGTATTTTTATTATTTATGACACAAATTCCATACGCAGAATGTACAGTTTTTGCTTTATTTCTGCAACAGTCCTATGAAATTGGGTTCTTCAGGAAATAAAACTTAGTCATGGCTAATACTTGATTTTTTAAATAAGAAGAAACATGACAGTCTGTAACCTGCTGGGTCCCATACAGTCCTTTCTGATCATAACTTCAGAAAACAAAGTGCACTTTACTTCCCCACACTTGAGCTAGAAAACAGAGTAAAACTATCATACCTAAAATAAGTTTTTCATGGTTGTAAAATTATTTGGGGGACGGTTTTTTTTTAAAGTGAGCAGGTTTACTCACTCTTGTGGTCCACAAATAACTATGCTATAGTGTCTAAAATTATAAATTGGATACAAAAATCAATCAGGATAGTAAAAAATTGAGCAGAGTAACTAAAAATGAATAAATCCAACAAGTAATGTTTGTAAAATTTAAAAGTCTAGGATTTAAAGAACAAGCCAGTGCCAGACAAGGTAACTGTGTCTTGTGCTAAGTGCATTCATTGTCTTGAACATTTCTCATTTAAGAGCTGCTGTTTAGAAGGCCCCTCTCTGTAAACTACTCATTTATTTTTGAGAGGAGAAAAGGACCTCTGGCAGTGATTTTATTCTTTGGGCAATCTTATATAAAATGAATCTGGAGTCTTACATCAAGGAAGACCATACCTACCATTCTGTTTATGGGGAAAAATGGCTGTCTCACCAACAAACATTGGAAGAGTTTCTCACTTGACCCAAGATAAATGTCAAATGCAAAGTCATATGCATCACTTTTGCCATCTCAAAGGGGAAGAAGGTGGGCCTGTATGGAATACATGAGCAAGCCTCAATTTGATACGATCCGGTGGAGAGTACTTTTATGCAATCCTTATTTCCTGTTTTGTTTTGTTTTTAAATTTAATCTATTAGCCACCCAACTCCAAAGGAGCCTGCATGAATTTGCACAGGGAACAATTCTTCCACTATTCCCCAAGAGTCAAAATATTAGGATTTGCTATATGTATGGCACTTTGCAGAACAACAAAAGATGTTGTTTTTGTTATTGAATACATGTTCCTGTGTCTGAATGGAAATAATATGAAGAGGTGGAATGGAGAGCAGCAAATAGATGTCAGTTTAATTCACCAACGGATGGGAAGGGCCTTAATTCATCCTTTACAATATAAAAAGGGAAATTTCTCTTTTTCCTTACAGGCAAGTCCTGGAAGTCTTTAACCCCATCTCAGAAAAGGCCTTATGTTGAAGAGGCAGAAAGGCTGAGGGTTCAACACATGCAAGACTACCCCAACTACAAATATCGGCCCAGAAGAAAGAAGCAGGTCAAGCGGATCTGCAAGCGGGTGGAGCCAGGCTTCCTGCTGGGTAGCCTCTCCAGGGACCAGGACCACATGCCTGAGAAAAGAGTATGCAGCCGAGCAGTGTGTGAGAAAGATGAATACTCAGCTGCCTCAGTAATGCCAAACATTAGAAGATACCAGGAGGTCCAGAGCACAAACACAGGTAATCCGATGGACACTTATCCATATGGGCTGCCTACTCCTCCTGAGATGTCACCCTTGGATGTGATAGATCCTGAGCAGAGCTTCTTCTCCTCCCCTTGTCCTGAAGACCCACACCATCTCCATATGTCTGGAGACACCTACTCTCTAGAATATGCCACCAGCCCTCTCCAGTGCAATCACTCTCTGGGTCATATGCCAGTCTCTCAGTCAGCCTCCTCTATGCACTCTGCTTCTTCCAGTTGCCCAGCACCTCCCACAGGAAATTATTATTCCCCAGCTTTCCCTCCTAATCTCCAAGTCCCCAGCCTCCACAACCATCTTGGCCAGCTCTCACCTCCCCCGGAGCATCAGAACTTTGATAGCCTGGATCAATTGAGCCAAGCCGACCTTCTAGAGGAGATGGACCGCAATGAGTTTGACCAGTATCTCAGTGCCCCTGGACATCCAGAGCCTAGTGGGCTCACCATCAATGGACATGTCCAGATTTCTCAGACAGCAAGCAGCTCACATTCCTCAGAAACCAGCCTAATTTCTGTCCTTGCAGATGCAACAGCTACTTATTACAACAATTACAGCATTTCTTAGGTCAGAGGAGTGAGATTTGTGCTATGGACCAGTTTGCTGGACAGAGGGTTTCCATTTCTCAGGATTTCCCACTCTGAAATTGAAATAACTTTGGGGTTCTCTTTTTATATAATTACTCCAGTTTGCCAACATTCTTTGTACCCAGTCTAACTATTGAGCATCTGTCTTCAGAAGTGTCTTTGTATCCCAATTAAAAGGATACATCTTCAGTGATGCATCAAGGCACCTTAATACGTTGACTTAGATTAAAGAATCCTTGTTCTTTCATCAAGCTGAGGGGCCCAGCTGATATAGCATAATAATAATTTCAAATCTGGTCTACTTCCAGAGGAATGACATCAGGAGGTATACATGAACACTTATGGAGTCTTTCAACCAAAGATGCCCTTGAATGCATTTCCTAGAGAAACCACTGCTAAGCAGACTCTGATGTTTAACAGTTTCTCAAGTGTTTTTTGCTCTTTGCACAATTCCCATTTGTTCCCATGGGCTTGCATAGGATTTTTTTCCCTGCCAAAGCTGAGACAGAATATGTAACAATGTCAAAAGTGCTACCATAGAAGCATCATTATCCTTGGTTATTGGGCCACTTATCTTCCTATTATCTTTGGCCAAACAAATTTTATCTTAAAATTAGTAAACTATGTCTAAATAATCAAATGAATATATAGCTCTTTAAAAGTGTTGTCCCTCTCCTACCAACTCTTACAGCTTCCAAATTCTACAAGGGCCTCATGCTGCAAACCACCTATCATCTCTTTTCAGTTTCACACATTTTGACAAACTGAGCATTGTCTATGGCAAAATGGATCAAAACAACGTGGGATTTCATCATAATCAGTGGTAAATGTGGCTATGTAATCTCATCACAAAATATAGGTCAGAAGAATTGCACGTAGCTTTGAACAACAATTTGCTAAGTCTCATTGTAGCAGCCACAATTTGGCTGTTGCCCTTTGCTTCTTTCAGGATCTTCTCTTTTCTCCTTGTCTGTGGAAGAGATTGGTACAGTGTTGTATGTTTGGGCACAACCAAGATAGAAGCATCAGGTGCAAATATGAGCATTTGAGAATGCATTTCAAGTGTCAAAATAAGTGAAGTTTATCTTAATAACAATTTTAGCAAGAGGTATGCAAATCATTTCAAGATCAGAACTGAACATTTCAGGGTGAGGATGGTTCACTTGTTTTATATACTTTTAATTCTAATCTAAATAGATCAGGGAATTTGGAGTGGGGAAAAACAGGAGTTCAGTATCTTCCATAACAAGTTGTTTTCCAGATGGAAGCATCTTCCATAACAAGTAGCTGACAGCCATCATCACCCAAGCTGGTTACATATGAGAGCTAATAGTCTTAACATATTTGTAATTGTGCTTTAGACTCCCTATGATTTAAACTGTCAACAAAGAATGTCAAAGAGATGGGTAACTTAGATTAAGATAATTATTAAAAACTCCTTTCTTAATAACCCTGCCTACATCTACTTTATCCCCTCCCAGAAGCTATTTTTGAGTTTAAAAGTCTGTCAGCCAGCTTCATCTATACTGCTGGCAAAAGATTGGGGAGAGTTTTGTAGAAAAGAATTTGTATTAGTAATGCTCCATTTTTATCAAAACATCCTTGAAAAAAATATTCCTTTGTGTTTAAAAGTAAACATTTCTATGTCTTATTTTGCCTGGAATGGCACTGTATATATATGTATGTTTTACAGATTATTCCCTTCCTCACCATTCATTTTTATTGGTAGAACTTCCTTATATTGATGGAAATCAACTGTTTCTTTGTTAATCAGTTATTTAACAGTTTAATGGTAATGTAATGATTAATTAGCTAGTTTACATCATTCTGCATTTCTAATTTTGTTCCTCAAATGTGTGGTTTAATCTACAAATAATGTTTTTATATATATTAAAGAATAAATGAACTAAACATGAATTGTTAAGATAATTATTTTGTGTGTTACTCTGTGTGCTTGATAATTTCAGCTGAATGTTGTATTTCAATATTTTATGTAAAGATGGTCGATCTGTTTAGATACACGGAGGCAGTAGTATAAGGGAGGAACTCCATCTATGATAATTTATCTACTATTTTCACCTAGATTTCAATATCTTTTATTAAAGTTAATTTCTCTGATAACTTTATATCTAGCTCACTGGATTTATAATCTGCAATTGATGTAAACTTTACAAACTACAATTCAAATGAAGCTGATGCCAGGTATAAGATATATAACACCTGGAATTTCAGTATACCTGAAAGCATGATGCATAGAACAAGACAGATTTTTTTTTTCATAAAGGGATAGAGTTGGAAAACGGCTGCTTGGGGGTTGGGGGGTTAGTTTGGTCATACTCTTTAAGTGATCCTAAATAGACCTGGCTTTGAATTGTTCTTCAACCCTCACTTCATTTAAGTGAATCCTTGTGATAGCTTATTTTTGTTTATTTGAAAGGCTGAGCTCCTTGTAGATTCATATTGGGAGACTTATTGGAAAGCTCCTTGTATTTCCCACATAATATGAGCTCCCTAGACATCAGAGATGTTTTCCCCTAAATTCAGCATTTCAATCTTAAGACTAGAGGCAGCTCTTCATTTAAAGAATTAATGCTTCAGAGAATTCAATGTCTCCAAGTTCTTACCCAAATGCTAGAAAAAAAGAGAGTTACTGTCAGCCCTATAAGAAGGCTCAGACTAAGAAACCAGTATCATGTGGGTCTAAAACTACTTTTATTAGAACAGCTATATTAATAGAATCTTGAAGGTCTAAATGTGTTTCCCTCCTCTATTTATGTGGATTAGTAATTGTCTCAGGGGTTTTCTTACGTTTCTTGCAATGAGATCAAGACTTACTTGTCTGATCATTGCCTTGGTAACAGATCTTCCCACTGTCTTTCAAGACTATTCTCTTTGCCTTCTACAGCATCTTGCCAGAATTCTAGAATTCTAATACTGGAAAAAACTATTCTCCTTTTTTGGAATGGTGGAGTTTGAAAATATCCCCCAGAGCACATGTTCAGCCTTTGAAGCATCCTGAGGTTGCTCAAAAAGAGAAGGTTAAAAAAGCAAAGGCCATGGCTGTGTGCTTGAAGTTTAGAATAGAAATAATAGAAATAGAAATAACAGAGTTGGAAGGGACCTTGGAGGTCTTCTAGTCCAACCCTTTGCTCAGGCAGGAAACCCTATATACCATTTCAGACAAATGGTATCTCTTCTTAAAGATTTCCAGTGTTGGAGCATTCACAACTTCTGGAGGCAAGTTGTTCCACTGATTAATTGTTCTAAGTGTCAGGAAATTTCTTCTTTGTTCTAGGGTGCTTCTCTCCTTGATTAGTTTCCATCCATTACTAAGAGTCTGAAGATGATAGTACTTAATAGAATAACATTGTTGGAAGGGAGCTTGGAGGTCTTCTAGTCCAACCCCCTGCTCAAGCAGGAAACCCTATTCAATTTGAGACAAATGGTTCTCCAATCTTTTCTTAAAAACTTGTGGAGGCAGGTTGTTCTGCTGATTAATTGTTCTAACTGTCAGGAAATTTCTCTTTAGTTCTAGGTTGCTTCTCTCCTTGGTTAGTTTCCATCCACTGCTTCTTGTCCTGCTGTTAGGTGCTTTGGAGAATGGTGTGACTCCCTCTTCTTTGTAGCAACCCCTGAGATATTGGAACATTGCTATCATATCACCCCTAATCTTTCTTTTCATTAAACTACTAGACATACCCAATTCCAGCAACCGTTCCTTATAAGTTATAACCTCCAGTCCCCTAATCATCTTTGTTGCTCTTCTCTGCACTCTTTCTAGAGTCTTAACATCACTTTTATATCATGGTGACCAAAACTGGATGCAGTATTCCAAGTGTGACCTTACCAAGGGATTACAAAGTAGTATTAACACTTCACGTGATCTTGATTCTATCCCTCTGTTAATGCAGCCTAGCACTGTGTTGGCTTTTTTGGCAGCTGCAGCACACTGCTGGCTCATATTTAAGTGATTGTCCACTAGGACTCTGAGATCCCTCTCACAGTTACTACTATTGAGCTGTACTGTACTTGTGCATTTGGGGTTTTTTGCATAATTGTAGAACCTTACTTTTTTCACCATTGAATTTTATTTTGTTAGATAGCGCTCAATATTCAAGTTGTCAAGATCCTTCTGTATCTTAAGCCTATCTTCTGGAGTGTTGGCTATTCCTGCCAGCTTAGTATCATCTGCAAATTTGATGAGTTCCCCTCATGCAAATCATTGATGAGGATGTTGAAGAGTACTGGGCCTAAAACAGAGCCTTGGGGTGCCCCACTGCATACTTCCCTCCATGTAAATGCAGTTCTATTGAGGACCACATGTTGAGTGCGGTTGGTCAGCCAGTTACGAATCAATCTGGTGGTGATGCTGTCTAACCCACATTTTCCTATCTTATCAAGTAGTAAGTTGTATCTCTTTTTATCAGACACATGCAATGGCCATAACAAAGAGGTGGAGCCTTGCATCTTGACTTTTTTGATCTCCCAGTCTGGTAGATGGTACAAAACTGTACCACTGATTTTAGCAGTATGGTTTTCAGGTAAAAGAAAAGAAAATAAGAATGGAAATGGGAATGCAAGATCTTGGTGAGAAGAAATTCTTCCATTTTTTCCCCCTTAAAGTTCCCCCTTTGCAAGTTCCTCAAAGATATTGGACAGGTTTGGTCTCCTTTCTTCAACTGAAGTATCTGCATCCTTAGAAGATCTCCCACAGCCTCCCAGCTGATCAGGAGAATGAATTGCCTATAATGAAAAAGGCTACTCCTCTCTGCAATATTATTACAGCCTTCCTGATAGGAAACTACTCTAAGTGTCTTTTCTAAAAAAGTACAAACTCCAAGGAGCAGGCATGCTACCATTTTGTGGATAATATTGAACAGCAAGTATTAGTTTCCTTTTTGCACAATGGAAAGACACTTGATATGGCCATATAAAATGGAAAACATGGAGCTCCTAGCCCCACATTTTGCAATTCCCGAAGAAAGGGCTACAGTTGATATACTTGGTATCAGTTCTGTCCATGTGATGTCTCGTGTAATCTGTGGGTAAGTAAAATGGGAAAGCTAATGCAGCTTGGATTTGTATGGTGTTTTAATACAATAGGATGAATAAGAACAGGGCTTTTCAAACTGTTCCATAGAACCCTAGAGTCTGAAAGAACTTAACTTTCACTTAAAGCCAAGTGTCTATCAATAAGCCCCCCCCCCACTAAATAGCAGCTTTAGGATCTGCTGATGGCCTCTTACCTAAGTAATAACCAGTTTTCATTTCACATAGCCTTTTTGAGATCAGCCAGTAAATAAATACTGTAAAAATATTTATTAACTTTAATAAAAATTATAAAGCCAATTAAACTTAGGAAATGAATAACCGTCCTGAAAATTGAAATCTGTTTTCAGTACCACATTTAAAAACAAAATGAGAAAATGAATCCTGTCCAGAGATAAGTGACCAGCCTGATGAAGAAAACTGGAAATTAATCTGGGAAGACATTACAACAATTATGAAATGCATGCAGCATAGTCATTCAACATAAAAGACAGGTTTTTAATCATTCTGGGGGTTAACATTAGCATGAGTGATTGAAAATCAATCTTTGGTGAAACATTAATAAAATATTACTGATGTGTGACAGTGATATAGCTACTTGTAAGTCAAAACTAATGATGGGAGAATTCATTACCAATTTCCCATATTTGGTTGGTTCTTAGGCTTAAGAATCTTCTAGACCAGTGTTTCTCAACTTTGGCAACTTTAAATGTGTGGACTTCAACTCTTGAGTTGGGTTGCTAAAATTGAGGAACACTGGTCTAGATGTGGTGGATGAGCTAGATAGTACTGTGACTATTCCAACACTGAGCTTGAGAAATTTGAAAACAGATAGTACAATAAAAAAGGCTAAATTTGCAGTCCAATCGGAAAGCATGACCATGTTTCTATTTAACTTGATATTGCTGTTTATGGTGAAAGGAAATCTGTATGTGTGCAGGCACGCACCTTTCACAGTCACAATTAGAAAAGAGAAGGAAAAATTATTTGGCACATTTTATAAACACGCCTTGTGATATCATGAAGAAAGCAGGGCAGCATGGTAACAAATACTATTTCAGTAAATGTCTGAAAATATGTAATTTTTTATATATGCACACACACCTACATCAGGCATAACATAACTTAGGCATCATCACCTAACCTTGGGGGAAAGCTTGGTATGGAAGAGAAGGAGAGAGAAAGGGATGCCAGAATGTATTTCTCAACCAATTAATTCTGAAGGAATATGAAATGCAGCTCTTGACAGACCAAGAGGTCTCTCTGAGTGGGGTTACCCATTTCTTTGCTGCGATAGCAGAAAATAGATGATTAGGTTCCTTCTCCTGTTGCTCCCGAAATTCAAGGCAGGGATCAAGAAATACTTTAGGATCGGGATCATAATATTGGACTAAGATAAAACCTTCTTTTTTGTAAATAAAATACTTTATCCTTTAATTTGTCTCTTCCTTCAGAGAAAGTGAAAACATTATTTTAACTTGGAAAACAACATTAGGAAAAAGAGTCACACATAACACACTCCATGACACAGTCCACTAATGGCTGCTTTTAAACTCTATTACACTCTAGGAAATTCTAAACTCCTTTCGCTTTGTCTGACCCTTCCCACTCAATTTAACTTTGGCAGCTGCTAAAACAAAAATAGTTACTGCCTTCAATGGGCTTGTCTTAAATGATAAATGTTTGGAAATCCTGAGTGGAAATTGATGATAAGGAGGAGGAGGAAGAGGAGGAGGAGGAGGCAGATGGGTTTTGTATTGAGCCATTCAGAGACTTTTTTTCTTAGTACCCAGTGGTGGAAGGCTGTCCTGTATCACCTCACATTCCAATATTACAAATTCTGCTGCTTTCTCAGGCAGAAAAAAATGTTCTCCCACTCTGATCTGTTAGAGGAAGAAAGGGATTCATTTTCCCAGAGCTGTAAAGGGAGGCTCCTGCTGTGTGCAAAGGAGAAGGAGTAAGACACACAACTCTGTCTTTTCCTGCCAAATCATGCCACTGGAGGTGGCTTTAGGCTGCTGAGACTTAGGAGAGGATGTGTCCAGCTCTGTTTCCTGACTGATAACAGTAGCCGGCCCCTCCAACCGGATGTTATGCGTCCTGGGGCTACCTTTATATTTAAGAAAATCACGACTTGTTTATACTTCAAGAAAAATAACGTCGCTTTCTTGCTCTCTGTGAGAGCATATAGATGGCTCTCTGAAAGAATAACATGACGAAAATACAATGTCCCGTATCCCATAGTAGACTTCATATTTGAGTGGTGGGGGTCTAAAATACTCAACATAGATTGCAGCCTTTAAAAAAAAATTCAGACACCCATGCCTCATTTCCTTTTGCTTGCTTCTTCACTCGATGGAAGGATATCTAAGACAGAAGTCATCCCTGAAATAAACTTTCTATCAGATCAAATTGTATTTGTATAGACAACGTCTATTATCAGAAAAGAAGCTGAGGGCGATGACAATATATTTAAAGGAAGACTATAAAAATCAGCTTGTAAGAAATACATCATTATTACCACCACTAGTATAAAAAGGCAACCTTCAGGTGCATATTCCTTAAAGATAATTTACTGAGACTGAAAATAGAGCTCTCAAACATGGCAAAAGGCATTTTGCTGCTTAAGATGGACAAAACCACAATTCTCTTTATTTCACAAACACATGCTGACTGGACAGGTGGTTGAACCTTACTTCAGTTTCGGGAGCAGAACAATACTCTTCACTATATTATATTCAATTTATTTTTACTTCAAAGTTATATGCAAATAACAATATTTATACTTCTATTAAGTGATAAAATATAAGTAGATAAAATCTAATTCAGTTTAAATCCAATTAAAAGTATGCTAATTATATTACTTAAGCTGAGTTAATAAGATTGCTCTTTACAGGCTGAATAACGTCTATTACATTGAGGATTACAGTTTGGTGACAAGTTTTAGAACATTCGGGGGCCCATATACGGTGGCATTATAGCCTTCCACTTTTCAAAGACCATGTTAGGTACTGCCCTAAGGATTTCTTTACAGAAGGTGCTAAGAGATTCCAGCTCTGCAGTCTCATTTTGTATATCTAGAATACAGGAATTAGAATGGAAATAAGCTAGGGAAGACTGAATGAAGCATGCCATTGTAAATAACTGTCCTCTTGTAGAATAAGCAGTTAATTTCCTAGAGGAAAATGCTTCTTTCTGAATATGTCCCATGTCTATGACAACAGTCTCTAAATCAAAGAGGGTACTATTAATTGGCAGCACAAGCATAGAGTAGTTTTGACAAAGCCATTTTGTTTTCATGTAGTCTCATAAGACTAGGATGTCTTTCATCTCAGATATCTTCACATTTTGTCCTCTTCCCACCCATGCTTTTTCCTTTAATTTACAGTAATTTTTAGACGCTTATCATTGCTGCAACAAGTCGTGGAGAGCACTGAAGCAATGAGGACATTAGTCCTGTTATTATAGCCTCTTTCAGGAAGGAAATTCCATTATCTGCTTAGGTGATGTGTATGACCCCAAATAATAGTTGATCTTCCCTTAAGTTCCTAGAGTATCTGTGCATTAGCCTAAACTGAAGGCAACTGAGAAACCTAAAAGCTATTGGAGGGTGGAACCCAGAAACTGAACTGCATTCCTATTTAATTTGTTGATGAAAGATCAAAACCAAGAGATCCCCAAAGAGGAAGTATCTGGCAGGAGAACAGGGCAAATGGTATCTTGATAGCCATTGCTTTGACTTAAAATATCCAAATTTAAAAATAAATAAAAATTATCCCTCACCCACCAATTGTATATTTATCTGAACTTTAAAATGATGCTTGAATATTCAGGATTACAATGTGTGCAAAACCCATTGACCTAATGTAGGCAATTAAACATGCATGTATATGCTGCTGACTATAAGAATCTGGCTTTAAGAACTTTGGCATATGGCATAACTTCAGTAAATTTCCCCAGCCAACGTGCAGCACTATTCATGAAAAAGCTGAAAGAAAAACCTCAGAAGCACAGAGCAGATTACTAGATTCCTTTGCTAAGTAATGCTTGCCGATTCTCAGATTCTAATATGAATATTAGAGTTTATTTATCTAATTTTATCCTCTGTACGTAAAAAATACTCAAGTTTTGTTCTCCTAAGATGGCAATCTATTTTAAAATTATGTTATTTAAACTAAGCGATGTAGACATTTCACATAATGCATATATGATGTGTCTCAATCTATTCACAGTACCTTGCATTGCAAATTGAATATGTCAGTGCAAGGCTATGAAAGAATCCTTTCTTTTAAAATGCAAACATATGAACCATACCTCCAGTCTGAAGTAGTATCACTCTGGAGAATCAGAGGCAAAGCACTTAGAATGCCAGGGATAAAAAAGTACAATTATAAGGAGATGCATGGATTGCTTTCTCATTGAAGGGTGCACAATAAGAGAATCCCAAAGCAATCTTCATTTATTTTTCTTCTTTTGGTCCTTCTCCATTTTGTCTTCATTTTCTAAAGGGTTGTCCTGTGTCTTCTTTTGAAGTTTGCTTGATTTTTTTCCTCGCAAGTCAGGACAGAATGGAGGTGGGTATGGAACAGGTGAACTGAGCATCAAGGCCTTTTTCTCAAGCTTTAATTCCAAGATTTCAAAGGTAGTCTGGATCTCATGTTGAATAATATGATGCAGGTTCTGGATCTGAGTTTTAATTGCTCCATTGACCAAAGATATCAGTGTCTGGAAGACAACATTAATATATCTGAAGTTTCTGATATATTAAACAATTAATATGGTTGGCTACTGATTGATTGGTTAACAAGATTATAATTTGCTTCAATCTGAATAGATGTGAATGTGCTGAATTTACCTGATCCTGGGTGATCATCTAAAGAATCAATTGAGGGTCTCTACTGAGTGGTGAATAACACATAGAAAAATACAGTGCAAAAATAGTATAAAAATAATGTAAAAACAAAAACCACTAATACAATCAGTATTATCTCTGAGGAAATTTATAGTCCATTGGGGCAAATTGGAATGGTATTTTTAACCATTTGGTCATGTCTGACCCTTGGTGAATTTATAGGCAAATGTTCTCCATGCTACCCTGCCAAGCACAACTTCTTTCAATTGTATTAATTTTATTTGATTGCAGAAAACAAAAGCCAATATTGATCTCCATGAGGAGAGCAGTCCAGGGAGTATAGACTACCCCAGAATGCCTAACATTTATTCTACACTCTATGTGTAGTGCCCATTATGAAGAATGGGAACTCTCAACAGATTCTCTTTAGATGGTCAGACTGATCAGGCAAATTCAATTCTGGCAAAATATTGTCCAATAAAAGCAGGTGCTATACCATATAAGGCATTTTTGAAGAGACTTGCATATGAAAACATTTGAGAATACTTGCAATTTATAATGCCTTGTTAAATCATTAGAATCTTATTGGACCTTTGATTAGATGAAAAAAAATCTCATTGCATAAAAGAATGGACTTCTATACCAGTTACTTGCATACCCTAATAATTCATCAACTGGTAAATAGTTACAGGATTCTCTGAAGTCCTGTGAAAAGATAACAAAAAAATATGGCCAAAGAAGCAGTCATACTATTGTATATTGACAGCAATTCCTTTTGCTGGATGTTGTCTGCCTTGACATTCTTAAATCCATTGCTTATAGCAGGGGTGTAGCCCATTCCATTGCCGGCAATGGAAAAAAAATCATGACACATTGTGATACGTCACGTTGCAAGTTTGACATCCCTGGGTTATAGCCTTTTAGTGAGGTGAAAGTAAAAATGACCTAGGCCATTTTCTCATTAGTGAGTAAATAATATTTTTATAACATTGCTTAATTATCTTTAAGGTTTACACAGCATATGCTTCTTTTCATATATTGGCACACCAATGACTGAAGAATACTATAACTTACTAGTGAAAAAACATGGATAAGCTTCCTGTCTACCTAACTTTTTATTTTACTTGTTCATTAACTTTGTTAATACTTCGTTAATGCCAGCTGAAAATCAACCTCCCATGTTATCTTTATTTGTAAGAATGAGTATGGGCCCCACTTAATCCTTCTATAATTACACAACAAGAATAATAGGAAGCTGTGAATTTTCTTTAAAAATGTATGCATCTTCCTGGGAAAATATTAAAGTATACTAAAGCAACAGGAACAGTAATATGGATAGGTAAACAGAGAGGTGGTAAATGCATATTTTACAATGGAACACACACAAACATGAGATCCAAGGAGGACTAAGAGATAGATTTCTCAGTTTCCACATGGCAGAGTAGCAGGAGAGGTATTCAGTAACAGGGTGCTATAATCATTGATTGCAATGATATACATTGCAATGGAATGAGAAGAGGTCCATATGCCAGCTGAAATCTAGTCACCTCCTCAGTGACTAGATAGGTATGCACATGCATACACACACACACACACACACACACACACACACACACACCTGCTGAAGGGTGGGGCTTGGGAACATAATTTTAATCTGACTATAAAGCTAGGAAGGAGCCAACAAAACAGCGTGGGGACCTAGGATATCATCTAGGTCTAGATGGCAGCTGGCAAAATGTATGAATGATACCGGTCAAAAGAATTCTTTTAGTCAATTTCCCAAAGTTGTTGAGTTTGGAGGACATCCATCAGACCTTGAAGATCTCAGTGATGATAGGCTGAATTTAGGAATTGGGAATAGCAAAATTTGGATTTTTTTCTCTATATACAGAATGGTATTGAACAAAAAAAATGATTAGGGAATTATATCCCAGCAATCATTGCTTGAGTTCAAAAGGTGATATTCTCTCCGTTCATTTGAATGTACTTGCCTTTGCTGGCAGCTCAATGAAACACAAATGCATAACATTAATGGCCCATTCATTTCACTCCACAGATGGGTTGACAAGTGAAAAAAATTGCCTCTGACTTCCCTAAACAATATGCTACAGGGCAGAGAAGAACCAGAAAAGCAAGCCCAGGCAGGTGGGAATTTTCAATCTGGGACGTGATAAAATTGTCAGAGATAGATTATGCAAATCAAAGATAGAGAGAGAAGAAACAATGTTTTGGAGGAGGCAACCTAAGTCATAACCCTGATGTGCTGTCAATTTACAGTGTGAACTTCACGTTCTGAAATCTTCAGGGCAAAATAAACAATGCAAACTGTAATCAAACTGTAAACAGTAAGTTTAAGAGCCATAGTGAAATAGCCATATTGCTCTCCCTCAACAGATACAGGCGTGTTGGATTTCAACTTGCATTACTTCCTTCAACCACTTCAGCACTTTCTAGACTATAGGAATGATATGATGTCCTCCTATGGGTAGCTAATCAGCTCTTCTTGACTTGAGAAGTGGTCTTTGGGTTAGTTGGTTGTTCAGATGAATAAAATAATTGGATTCATACAACATGTGCTTTATCTGGTTGGTTGCTTAATGTTCTGTCTTTGCACAATATATTAAAGCATTAACTAACCAAACAAACTGGGTTTGCACGACATGCTAAGCCAGTAAAAAACAAGTGAATGCAGCCACACTATTATTGGTTGTTAAGCATGTTGCAGGAACATTGCCATCTGCAGAGTAGCAGATGACAAAACAGAAAATGAGGGAGTGACAAAGCTTTTGAAAACATTTTGAGGGCAAGAATAAGAGTGTAGAAATAAGAATCAGGCCTAAAGTTTCTATTTTTGTTATTAAATTTTGTGTTATATAAGAATAGAAGGCTCTCTACCAAATCCAGGGTCCTAAACCTTATAAACCTGACAGATTCCTTAAAGATCATAAGCAAAACAAGAAAGTAAGTGGAGCATTGAAGAGATACAGAAATATCTGTTTACTGCTATCTGGTGTACTGTTAGGATTTTTAAATTCAGATATAGTAGCTCTCAGTTTTTTCCTTTTGTCCAAACAGTATTTAACAGCAAAAGGGTATTGACACTGAATGTTCTATTTATCACATTCTCTAAATTTGTATATTTCTCTTTTAAGAGCATCCATTGACCATTGCCATATCTAGCAGAAATAAATCTAGAGATGAATCAAAAGCTCTGCTAAAAAGTGCGTTCTTTGATCTATGTTCTCATTGCAAGGGGTAGAATTACATTGTATAAATCAAACATATTATAAACCTCTATTGTATCATTTGTTTTCCAAGACCAAGTGTCTCCAAAATATTTGCACTTTTCCTTATGGGAATGATGTCCCTCCGCCTCCCTGATATTAATTATCCATTTATTTATTTTGGTTTGTTCTAATGTTTTTATATGCTGCTGTTTAGAGTTCTTTTAGATCATGTCACAAACATATTTAAAATGTGTCACAAGGAACATAATAGATCAACAGCATAAAGCATATTCAATAATATGTTTGTAAACAGAACTTTTTTTAAAGAAAACTTTAGTATTATAGCTAATACAGTAAATATTAAAAAAAAAAAAGATTGATAGGAATGCCCACACCAAGACAGGTTCAGTACTGAAAAGGGCTTAATTCTGATTAAACCTGATAATTCAGCATGAAAATACTTATTACTAGCCTTTAAGGCCCTCCCCTCCCAAATCACATGGATTCAAGCAATTCTTTAAAATCCTCACCCCAAGAATTTGTGATTTAAAAGTCATCCCAGAACTTTAAAGTTAGGTAGGTAAATTTGGAAGAACCAATCCTGATTCAGAAGCATTGTTCTTTTAGTGCATTGGAGTACCTGTGGGTATGGTATAGTATGGCTAGGCAAGAGGTAGGCAACCTCGGCTCTTTTATAACTCATGGACATCAACTCCCAGAATTCCTGAGTCAGCTGTGAGTTGAAGTCCATGAGTGATAAAAGAGCCAGGGTTGCCTATCCCTGGGCTAGGCTGACTTCATTTTTGGTATTAGAAGAGATGCCAAGAGCAAAAAAATAAAGGCTTCTATTTTGTGGCAAGCATTTGACGTGTTCTTGGGGGTTAGTCTAAAAACCAAACACAGGATCTGCTCTTTAAGCATGACTTGTTTAGTTTTTGAAACTGTAAATGGGACCTCATGCATGCTTCTTTATAGGATGCCCCATTCATGCTCAGCAAATAAATACTTAGCATTTTGACTATGATTGAGCATCTGATACACCTTGGACTCTTCTGCTTTCTTTTTCTTTCTTTCTTTCTTTCTTTCTTTCTTTCTTTCTTTCTTTCTTTCTTTCTTTCTTTCTTTCTTTCTTTCTTGTTTTGGGGTCTTGTCCAGCATGCTCAAACTTCCCTTGTATTTCTCAACAGCAATAATTGATTTACAATCCTGTTGTCACCAGCTAATTTCATTAATGGAGTTAGTGAACATTTCTACTCTGAGGCACTCTATTTTTTATAGCTTGGAAGAAGTCTATTTCATCTGAGATAAAGAATTTTCAGCTATGGTACCCACTAAAGAGCCTCTGGATATCCTTTCTATTTTGAGAATCTATAATCTCCATGCCAGAGTTCCCTTTGTGAATGGGCAATTCCTGACCCCCATTTCATGGCAGCCTGTGCCCATGGCATGTTTTCAACATTTGAAATGTAGCTGCTGGTTAAAATTTGAGAAACCTTAATGGCTAGGCCCAGTGCTTTTTTTCTAAAAAAAAAAAAAAAAGGTGCCGGAACTCACACATACAACCTACCTTGCCTACCCTACAAGGTTCCATCCAAAAAAGGTGCCGGAACTCCATTCTGGGCACTCTGAGAAAAAAAGCCCTGGCTAGGCCTAATCAAAGTTCTTTAGAAGATATTAAATGAAATTCAGTGGTGGTCAACTACCTATTACTTATATGTAACAATAATAATTTAACAATACATAGTATTAAATTAACAATATCCTAGAGAGGGGTGGAGGAAAATGTCCCTTTTATGACTTATGGACTTCAACTCCCAGAATTCCTGAGCCACCCATGCTGGCTCAGAAATTCTGGGAGTTGAAGTCCACAAGTCATAAAAGGGCCATCGTTCCCCACTTCTTTAGAGGATACTACATTCTTCATTTACCTCTGTGCTAAGGGTCTGTGTTTGTCTTCTGACCCTTTGGTACACCTCCTGGAGCAGACTTTCCCGTTCTGCATGCAAAGTTTCTCGGATATGCATTATACTGGCCTGTTTTTCTTCTTCAGCTGCACAGAGGACAGCTAATTGTTGCTGGTAGTTCCACATTTCAATATCTATGCCTTCACTCAAAGGAGGGGGACTGGGGGGAGCACAGACCTCAAGAATGGCAAATGTCTGATTGTGGTCTCTCTCCCGAGTCATCACAAACTGGTACAGCCAATAATGCTTAAGAAATGTGTTTAAAAAGTAATCATACACAGCAGACTTCCGGAAAGAGGAGAGGTGAACTGGAAAGCCAGTCAGTTTCTCTTGAAGGATTTTAATGGCTTGCAACAGGGGCAAACCTGAAAGGAAGAGAAAAAAAAAGAGCAATGATACATATACATTTGACAAATACGAATAAAAAAATAAACACAACAACTTCTGGAATATCTCCCTGCTGTTTACTCAACCTACAAAGGAAGAGATAAGAAGTTACAAATGCTGAAAACACATTTCATGTGAATGGCTATCCTTAACTCTATCTTATTCATTTGTTTTCCAGGGAAATTTAAGTCTTTTGGTCCCAATTAAATATCAGGAACTGCTAAAATTAAAAAGAGGGGAATGTAGGAATAGAGATTCTGTTTTGCCCAAAAACAGTCCATAGTCCTGTTTTTCATCACTGCAACAGCTTTATTTGGGTCTCTCTCTCTCTCTCTCTCTCTCTCTCTCTCTCTCTCTCTCTCTCTCTCTCTCTCTCTCTCTCTCTCTCTCTCTCTCTCTCTCTCTCTCTCGGGAAACAATAGTACAGGGGAGATGCAAAAAGGAGGAAGGGCACATCCAACACCAACAAGGAAGACAACCATTGACCAGCTGCCTCACCCATAGGGGTATGTTGGGGACATTGTTTCTGACAATTTTCTCTACTGCTCAGGCCCAATCTTTCTTTTGACAGCTTCTCCTGCACTCCTAAAATTTGGTCCCATTCTATTCACTATATGGAAAGATATTTGATTAACCAATGAACCCAGAGCCCTTTAAAATAATAAAAAGTAATGATGGGCTCTATTTAAAAATTGATTTAAATTCATGTAATTTGTATATTTGAATAATCCGACAACTTACCAAATTATTGTATTACATCCAAAAAATAGAACATCGACCCTTACCAATACAACATGAAGTATTACTAGCATATAATAACAAATTGGTGTTCTGTTTCAGCCACCTGAACATCTAAAGCAATATTCCAAAATTTAACAAAACAGATTGAATTCTGCATGAAAAAATAGACATCCTTGACAATAAATGATGAATCAGAAAACCAGATTTTAATCCAAAACAAGTTAGAAACCTTGCTTTATAGGAAAAAGATTTTGGTTAAACTGAGAGAAAAATCTCACGATATTTATAAGATAATTTTGCTAATGGACTCAATTCATTGGAAAAAAGAATACATTTTTTCCTTGCAACAGGTTTTACAGAATACTAGAATTGGAAGGAACCTTGCAAGTCTTCTAGTCCAACCCCCTGTTCAAGCAGGAGACCCATTCCAGACAAGAGAGACACCAAGGAAATATTCTAAATGTAGGAAATGTTCTTGTTTGGATTTGACAGAGGAATGGACCAGAATTTTGAATTGATTACTTCTAGTATCTATATGATAGGATTGATTTATTTGTGTTTGTTTATTTATGGACAATCTATATGGCTACCCATCTTGAACAAGCAACTGGGCAATTGGGCAATAAATACTGTATATAAAACATAAAACATGTTATAAGAAATTAATTTTAAACTGTGCAAAATAGGATTAAAAATAATCATCAAACTAAAACTCAAGATGCCTCAAAGCAATTTAGATACTAGCAAGTAAATCAGATTCCACACATGTCCAGGCCCTAACACCTGAGAAAAGAGCCAGATTTTCATAGCCTTCTAGACGGCTAGTAGGGTCAGGGCTATTCAAAGGGCAAGGCTGTTCCAAAGGGCAGACATTATTACAGAAAAGACGTGTCTCCTAGAATATGCATAATGTCATCATTTCAGAGAGGTAAGTATCTGGAGGATTCCTATCCTGCTAGACTGAGTAGAATGCATTGAAAGCATTGGATATCCCTGCTTGCCCTTTACTCCCTCACCCTGGACTATGCCTTCCTTTCCACAGTCAAAGAGCCCCATCCCAACTGCACTAACAGAGCCCATTAACAGGTGGGATACAGCTGGTGCACACACATACACATAAGCAATCTGAGAGTGTTTTCATAGCATTCTGCACCCATAAGCTTGGGATACCTGCCAACTTCTTATTCCACACTCAAACATCCTCCCCCACACACCATCTCCAGGTGCTGAATGCTATGCTTAAAAATTAAGTAAAGGCCACAGATTAACCACTCCTATACTAGACAAAGATTTTTTCCCTCATTCAAATCTCCTGAAACAATTTTGAGCTGCAGGTGCACCTGATTGAACTTTTTGCATGTAAAGTTATGGACACAAGCTTTCTACACAATACATTGTGGTATCCTGAGATGCACTTCAGCATTGCTTGTGACAGGAAATGTAAGCCAACCCTGGAAAGGAGCCCCTGAGTCAGATATAATCAGATTAGTGTACAGAGAAAAATAAAGTAATATAATGAAGCACCACTTCATCTGCATGTATAAGGTATTGCCTTGAATGTTTCAAAGAAAATATATTGCAAACTATAAGCTAGAAAATGAAGGAGAAAGGTTCTAATACTTATGTGCTGTTTTCCTATTTACAGAGAAAATTTAAATTGGGAAAAATTCAACATTTTGAACTTGTTTATGTAGAGTGTACATTTGTACATTCTGTTTCTTATTCCATTCATTCTCAGCTATTAACAGGTATATGTCACATCTCTCTGGAATAAAGTCAGTTCTTTTGAGCTACAAGATCAATACACAAGGCCTGCATTCAAGATACAAACCATCAGACAAGTTTTGGGCACTGCAGCAGTGCCTATTTAAATGGGAGAGCACTCTTTTCTATTTACCTTGCCTTTCCCTGATTCTAAATTGGTTGCTTACAGCTTCGGGGAGCTGTCCATGCCACAGCACCTGGTAACTTTGCTGGGCTCTTTCCTGCCCAGGGGAAAAAAGTATGGGGTTAGATGACAATACCTTGGACCCCAATGCAAAGGTCCTGCATTGCAACAGTTCAACTGACCAATAGGTCCCCTAGCCTAACTGAACAGCTGCCAGTATGGTCACTCGTTTGGTTTGTTATTTATATGTCCATCTTAATCATTAAGACATCAATTGTTTCATTTGTATATCCTGTGCATTATCTTTTTCCATATCATTCTTGTGGTCTGACACTTTTAAAACCAAATCAGGCTTAGTCTTGACCAGTAAAACTTGTTCTTCCATATAATCTTTTAAACACAGGCTAGCTATAATAGATTTTCTCCCTGGCAATCTATCCCTAATTAGTTCTTTCAAGTCTCCCAACAGAGCACTTACCACCACTGTAACTGAGTCCATCCACTTTGTTGCTAGCTATCCTCCTCTTTCCTTTCACCTTTTCTAGCACTAGAGTCTTTTTCCAAAAGTTGTGCCTTCACATAATGTATCTGAAGTAGAATAATTTGAGCCTAGACATTTGTACCTCTGAGTTGATTTGTTCAATGATCCATGGGTTCATTTTCCTGACTGTCCATGGTATTCTCAGAAGTCATTTCCAACACCAATGTTGGAAAGGTGTCAATATTCTTCCTACACTTTTTTTGAAGTCCAAGTACCAGTATTAAGGTAATTTTTTCTATTATTCTTATATTGTCCAAGGTTAACTTCAAAAGGTGTGGAAAATTTGTTACACTTTGTTACCTATTACTTTGGATGAAATCAGATGACTAGAGTGACCTGAAACAGGCAATGGATGCAGGACAGGGGACTGGAAAAGAAACAGCAAATTTCAAAAGGCAGAGCTTTCTCCTGACTCAGTGATGAGCAGAAAGCATTTCAACTCAGCACCCTTCCTGCTTGCCTTGCCTTCAATAGAACAAGGCTTTTTTTTTATGTAGCCTATGAGGAATTCTCTCTCAGGGACAAAGGGATTGACTGACAGAACTGATTCCTGTGTGTTGGGTTTCTTTTTTACATATAATTTTCCTTTCTGATCAGCCCCCTCACAATTTTCCTCAAATTAATACTTAGCAGATGTTTAGGACTTGGGTTGTTGGGAGTCCAAAACATCTGGAGGACAGAGGTAAAAGAGAAAAAATATTTTAACCTACACTGCTTTCTGCTTATCTTTCAATTTGTAAGTTATCACTCAAGCAAAAAAAAAGGATGGCACTATTGTAGCTCAAAATGATTACTGCCTTTTTTGCCACTTCAGGATTCTATCCCCTCATTCTTTCCTTGTGTAGATATAGATCCTCAGCTTTCAGTAGGGCAAAAGGCAAGTAAGGGCAGTGCATCTGTGGAAGGTACTACTTGCAGCACTTGAAGGACACCCAAGTGTGATTTTGCAACACACTCTGTGGCAGGGTGATGCCCCTTATTTCACCTCTCCCTTGTACACATTTATTTTCAAGTGTAGGTCTGAGACTCTACAGATCAATGCAAACAAACAAGCTTTCACATTTCCCATCTTAGAGACAAGATTCTACTAATGGGTGTTTGGCTGGAGCTTAAAATTAAGAAAATAGCTCTTATTATTCCTACTCCTTAGGCATCGCCCTATCTTGAAAAAGGACCATTAAACCTATGATGAAAAAAAATAATGAAACATGGTATTTTCATGAATGTTCTGGTTAATGGGTGCAGGTAGAGTCAGCTTTAAGCTAAGGCTGAATAGGTACTAGCCTAGGGCACCAAAGTTTAGGAGTGCCAGCACTATGCCTCCTGGAGTAAGCCCCCATTCCTCATGTTTCAATCATATCTTTCCAAACTAGTTTTGATTTGAAAGGAAAGGCTGCTGAGGACTACTACACACAACTATGTGTAACATCTTATTTGGCCCTAAGCCAATTAAGCCTGTGTTTGGGTGGTGGATCACTACACAGCTGTGCATCAAAAAAACCCCCATCAATGTGTTTTTTAATCCCTGCAAAATGTTGTCTTACATTTGTAAAGTTTTCATGCTTAAGCCAAAATGGATTTTTGTTTGTTTTTTTCCCTTGCCAAGTTCTATTTCTGGAGATTAACTGCTGGCGCATTCTGCCTCTTCAGTCTTCTCATCCATTGTAAATTGTAAAAGCAGGCAGAAGAACAAAAGACCAATGTTTTGGCAATGTTAGGAAAGAACTACTTTTTTTCCCCTACTGCTTCAGCTTGCCTTGTGACCAGATAAATAAGATCATCATAAAATAGATAAGAGGGTAGGTAGG